TGGTTTCCTCTCTTCATTTGTGTGTGTGTGTGTGTGTGTGTGTGTGTGTGTGTGTGTTTGGATAGTGGGATTGAATCCAGGGATAATTTACCTCTAATCTACATCCCCAGCCATTTATTTTATTTTATTTTGAGACAAGTTCTAAATTGCTTAGGACCTTGCTAAGTTGCTAAGTCTGGCCTCAAACTTGTGATCCTTCTGTCTCAGCCTCCTGAGTTGCTGGGATTATAGGCATGTGCCAACGTGTCTGACTTATGAGTACCTTTTTTTAATGTTTTGGTTTACACTATCTCTATTTTTTTTAAAAGAGCTTTTTTAGTTATGCATAGTAGTTGGGTTTATCCCCCAAAACTCATACATGCATGGAATTTGATTTCAATTCACGATTCCCCCTTATCCCTCCTGTCCTTCTTTCCTTTTTCTATTTTTCTTCTTACTTCACTCATCTTGTAGTTTATATTTGATTTGTTCTTTTTTTTTAAGAAATATTTTATTAGTTGTTGATGGACCTTTATTTATTTATAAGTGGTGCTGAGAATTGAACCCAGTGCCCCACACATGCCAGGCAAGCACTCTACCACTGAGCCACAACCCCAACTCCTTGATTGGTTCTTTCTACCTAGACACAAAGGTGAAGTTCCCTATCATATATTTATGCATGCACACAACATGATTTTTAAAAAATTCATTCAGTATTGCCTTCCCTTACACATCTCTCCACTCTACCTCTTGATCTCTTCTGCGTTATTGATCTTCCCTTTTAACTTATCATATCCTTCCTTCCGCCTCTCCATTATATTAGCATCCACATATGAGAGAAAACATTCAACATTTGAGTTTCTAAGTTTGTCTTATTTCATTTAGCATGATATTCTCCATTTCCATTAATTTACTGGCAAATGACATAATTTCATTCACTTTTTTTTTTGTGTGTGTATCGCACAATTTCTTTCCCCCCCATTTTAAAAATTGAGATCTTTGTATTTATTACTTTTTAAAAATTTATATATTTTAATTGGGTATATATGACAGCAGAATGTATTTTGACTCAATGTACACAATTTCAGCACGGCTTTTTATTTTTCTGATTGTACACGATGTAGTGCCACACCATATGTGCAGTCATAGATACCTAGGGTAATAATGTCCATCTCATTCCACCATCTTTCCTGCCTCATACCTCCTCCCCTCTCTTCCCCTCCCTTCCCTTTGCCGGATTAAAGTTCTTCCAATTTTTCCATGCTTCCCCCAAGATTTCTTAATCTGAGTTGATTCCATAATTTAGCTATTGTGAATTGTGCTGCTATAAACATTGAAGTGGCTGTGTTGCTGTGGTATGTGGATTTTTAGATATTTTTGGAAAATACCCAAGAGTGGAATAGCTGAGTCATATGGAAATTCCACCCCTAGTTTTTGTGGACTGTTCAAACTGATTTCCAGAGTCGTTATAATAGTGCGCATTCCCAAAATGTATAAGTAAGTGTTCCTTTCTCCCCACAACCTTGTCAGCATTTCTTGTTGTTTGTATTCTTGATCCTTGACATTCTGACTAGAGTGAGATGGAATATTAATGTAGTTTTGATTTGCATTTCCTGATGGCTAGAGATGTTGAACATTTTTTCATTTATTTGTTGGCCTTTGTGTTTTTTCCATTGAGAAGTTTCTGTTTATTTCTTCTGCCCATTTATTGATTGGGTTATTTTATTTATTTATTTATTCTGGAGAGTACTCCCCTATCGGAGGAGTACTTGGCCAAGGTTTTTTTCCATTCTGTAGTTTTACTCTTCACACTTTGAATTGTGTCCTAGCTGTGCCGAAGCTGTTTAGTTTAATGGCATCCCACTTATTGATTGTTGGTTTTATTTCTTGTGCTTTGGGGGTCTAGTTAAGGAAGTCTGTGTCAGTACCTATGTGATGGAGTGTTGACCCTGTGCTTTCTTCTTGCAATTGTAAGGTTTCTGGTCTAATTCCTAAGTCTTTGATTATTTCATTTTGAGTTTTGTGCAGAGTGAATCTCAATGTGTTTTTAATTTACGCAATCAAATTATATGTGTGAAATATGATAATAGATGTGAACATAATTTATCTACCCTCTTACACATTCTGGGTTCTGAAATGCATTCTCTGATGTGGTTCAGAATTACTTTTGTCTTACGTTTGGGCTGAGGCATGTAGTAGAGAACTATCTACTATAACATTTCTTCTAATGTTTTGTTCTGCACAATACTGTTTTTAACAGAATGTAAATGCATTATAATTTGACAAGTGTCCATTATAAATGGACAAGCATCTATTGTCAGATAATATTTGAGAAGTATGGAGTTAAGATAGTTAAATAAGAGTCCAGAACCTTTAAGGCCTAAACAGTAGGGCGTCTTTTGGTTTCCTGTTAGCATTGTGACTATCTGTATTTTTTATACATATGTATTTTTTTTTAAAAGAGAGAGAGAATATGTATATATTTTTTAATATTTATTTTTTAGTTTTCGGCGGACACAACATCTTTGTTTGTATGTGGTCCTGAGGATTGAACCCGGGCCGCACGCATGCCAGGCGAGCGCGCTACCGCTTGAGCCACATCCGCAGCCCAACACTGTGACTATCTAATAGGAGGATAAAATGGGGCCAAAAATGTTTGATCACAGCATCTGGTTTCATTGGAAATATTTTGGGGAACATTGGGCCTGTATGATGTTTGCACTGTTCCTCCTTGTTTGTTAGAAATGGCTTATTGTTTGTTGAGGTTTCTATCCTGTCATAATGCTGCAATGTGTACTTCAGTCTTCTGGTGACACTATAGAGGCAGTCACTATACAGGGAGTCCAGTGTGGCCTGCTTCTTAGCTGCTGCCGCCTTTGTTTTGGTTTTTTAAGATTTACTTCTTTTGAACTGCCATGTGATTCCTGATAGGAGGAGGTTACAGTGATGGAAAGTTTTCAGTTACTAATCATGGTCCAGTGGTGAGTGATTTCAGATAACAGATGCAGGACAGGCCTGGCATGGTGACTTGGTGATTAGGGTGAAGGGTGTTGGGCACGGGGAGAGACATCCCCTGGAGGTCAAGAGAGTTGTAAATGCTGGCCCCCACACCTGCTGAACATCTTGTGGAAGAGCTTTGTTGGGTAGGGATGGAATGTGGGAAGAGGCATTTGTTTGAGGGCTTGGACTGGTATTCAAACTCTGTGGAAAGTGAACCCTTTGACCTATTTTGACTATTGTGGGGGCTTGTTTGTAGTTGGAGACTTTCTGGAGACTCCTTTTAACCAAACCCAGTCTACTACTACTCCTCAAGTGAAGTTTGCATTATAGGCTTTGAAGTGTTTGTGTGTACCCCTGAGTGGCAAGAATGTCACAGCTTCTATGTGTTTGCCACCCCTAAATTTTAGCTCCTCACTTCTTTTTGACAACTGACGCGGTGAAGTGTAAGTATCAGAGCTGGAAGCATAGAGTTGTTAAACTTATACTAGCCTGGGAATATTAATTTCTTCATTTGAGAATATTACCTGTTTTACAGGATTGTTTTGAATATGTGTTTTGTAAAGAGGTGCACAGTTCAGGTAAGTGTTAAACCAGCTTTACTCCTCGTTTTCACATGTGAAGGGGACCTGGGTCTCTTTAGAAGAACCTTTGTGGACTTGGTCTTTGGGGGCAGTTACCCAAGTTAGTTAATAGTGGAGAACAAAGATTGGAATCTGTATACGGGGTAAAAAATGGGAGTTCATAACCCACTTGAATCAAAGTGTGAAACATAATATATCAAGAACTATGTAATGTTTTGAACAACCAACAATAAAAAATTAAAAAAAAAATTGGAGACAAAATTTTATTTAATTTTTATTTTTTTAAATTTTTAGAGCTTTATGGTTATTTTTAGTAGTTGGGTTCATCCTGACAGACTCATACATGCATAGAAAATTGATTGTGGTTCATGATTATGCTGGAGAAGAAAATTTGAAGCAATAAGATTTCTTTCTCTTTGTCAATATTGACTCTTCTTAATATTTGCATAACTCTGTAATTGAAATTTTAAGATTGTTTATTTTAGCAAAATAAATTATGTTTCAGAATTATGGCAACCTTGCCTTGCCCAGAAGAAACTGCTGCAGCAGGTGGGTTATTTGCCCATCATTGGGGAAAACATCAGCACTGAACTTCAAAGCTTTTTTTTTTTTTTTTAAATCATTTCTCACATGTTTGATAGTGGCTTTTGGGAAGCTTTCTGGCAAGATTTACTAGAAAATAGTAGAGTATTTATTACCTCAGTTTTAAGAATTTATGTTTTTATTTTCCAGAGGTTGTGTATCCATTGGTTTATTTTTAATTTTTTCCTACTGGGGATTCAACTGGGGTGGGGGAGTATTAACCACTGAACCACATCTAGAGCCCCTTTTATATTTTTTTCTCTTCAACTCTAAGGTTACTGTTTAATTGAAGGATCACTATAAGTACATTAATGTTTGGTTTTGAATACTGCAATTAAAAAAAATAGCATGTAGTTTTTAGGAAATGATATCACTTGCTACATGGATGAGGGATGACAGAAGATAACTTCTATTACTGGTTTCTTGAGATGATGTTTGGTATTGAATGTGACCTTGAAACTAATGTATAGAAAAGAAACAAACAAGAAAATTTAGCCTCTCAAAACAAAATGGTATGCCAAAGACAGAAATCACACACTGGGTCACCTGCTTTGAAATAATTTTTTATTAGAAGCAAGTGGGAAGTCGGGTCTCAAGTTTCATTTCCATTTTGAATCAAGAAGTTACTTGTTATCATTTTATAAAAGTAGTTATGTAGAAGTTCACGATGTTGATAGTAATTTTGGATTAGCAGTAATGAATATACATATGTGGCTCTTGAATAATAATATATTTCATTTTTTTCTATGAATTAAAATATATAGTATAATGATTGGCTGGTGGTAGTTTTGAATAGTAAATGTTATCTTTCTTAGTTTATTAACATTTGATTTCTCTTTCTTTTGCTTCCTTCTCCAGGGTGTGGATGAATGGAACATAGCTCGTCTAAATACAGTCTTGGATGTGGTTGAAGAAGAGTGCGGTATTTCTATTGAGGGTGTAAATACCCCTTATCTTTATTTTGGAATGTGGAAAACCACATTTGCGTGGCACACCGAGGACATGGACCTCTACAGCATTAATTATCTCCACTTTGGAGAGCCCAAGTCTTGGCAAGTTCCTTGTTTAATATTCATTTGCTTATGAGTTTTCAAATTTGCACATTATGCACATATTGAAGAGCTTTCCTTCTTTCATTTGGTGGATTCAGATTTATATGAGGCTTAAGGAAGTTTTTGGCTATAATGATTGTATTCCTTTCTGCCCAGGTTTTGTTGAGAAACTTTAAATTCAATGGTGACTTGTATATATAAAGTTGACTGCAGACCATTTTGAGGTCCATGGATTGATAGGTATTTTTAGTCTGAAATGATTTGTTAGGAATTTGTACTTATTTGAGCATTTGTTGAAGGGTTTGTTGTAAAATCTAGTATGTGAGCTCCTGTATTCTGTAATTTGCTTAAGGAATCTGAAAAGTTAGTAGCAGAACTTTTCTGGAGATTTGTCAGAATTAAAGAGGACATTAATTTGAATTTTTAACATTGGGAGTTTGGATGAAGTCTCTGCTTTCTTATTTAGAATGATGATTGTTTTTTCTGTTCTTGGGAATAGACTGATGTTGACTCTTGATCACTTATGAAAGAATATTGTAGTCAAAGATAAGACTGATTGTAGAGACTATTGTCTTTGGGAAAGAGTTATCACTGCTCATAAGTAAGAATAATTGTTTTCAGTAGTTAATATATATATATTTTCAGTATTAGCTATTAAGCATATAGACTCCATTATATGCCTTAGGGGTAGATTTATATTATCACTATTATCTTTAACTTTGACCATTATGTATAATGATAAAACAATAAACAGCAGTGACTTATGACAACTCATCTACATTCTATTTTCTAGGATAACTACTCTAGGAAAAGAGTGGTATAAATGTCTCTGAGGGTATTTCCCAGTAGATCTTTGAAAGATTATATTAATGTAGAATAAATAATTTGGAGGTAAACTTTATTATCATTAAAATTCATTTTACAAAACTTTATATTTGAAGTGAGCTTTGAAAGGTGGTAGGAGTAATATAAAATCATATAAATACTGGAAAGCAGGCAGTAGATGTAGCAGAGCCTAGACTTGAGAGACCACCAACCAGGTCTCTAATATTTATTCTGCCACCAACATTTGTGGCTTTGGACAAACAACTGTACTTCTGGGAACCATTTCCTCACCTACGTTATCACAAGCTTAGGCAGAATGGCTTCCAGTACTCTTTGTGGTTTGTGATCAGACCCATATGAATATTTTCATTTGCTTAACCGAATGAGAGGGTGATGAGGTGATGATGCAAGGTTCTGTATGTATGTCTGCCTAAGTGTGCACTTTCTTTTCTACCTTTACACTTTAAAATTTTTTTTGTTTTAATTAGTTATACATGACAGTAGAATGCATTTATGCACTTTGAAATATCATACATAGATTGAATATAGTTTCTCATTTTTCTGAGTGTACATGTTGCAAAATTATTGGTCATGTAATCACACACACACACACACACACACACACACGCAGAGTAATAATGTCTGTTTCATTCTACTATCTTTCCTATCCTCATATCCCCTCCCCTCCCATCACTTCCCTCTACCTAATCTAAGGTAATGCTATTCTTCCCTAGTGTCCCCCGTCTTATTGTTAATTAACAACCTCATGTTAGAGAAAATATTTGGCCTTTGATTTTGTGAGATTAGCTTATTTCACTTAGCCTGATATTCTTCAATTCCAACCCTTTGCTGGAAAATGTCATAATTCCACTCTTCTTTAAAACTGCGCAATATTCCACTGAGTAAATATACCATATTTTCTTTATCCATTCATCTATTGAGGGACACCTAGGTTAGTTCCATAGTCTAGCTATTGTGAATTGAGCTGCTACAAACATTGTTGTGGCTGTGTCACTATAATATGCTGATTTTAAGTCCAAGGAGTGGGATAGTTGGGTCAAATGGTGGTTCCATTCCCAATTTTCTGAGGAATCTCCATACTGCTTTCCACAATGGGTCTACCAATTTCATTCCCACCAGCAATATATGAGTGTACCCTTTTCACCACATCCTCGTCAACAGTTATTATTGCCTGTATTCTTTTTTTTTTTAAAGAGAGAGAGGAGAGAGAGAGAGAGAGAATTTTTAAAATATTTATTTATTTTTTAGTTTTCAGCGGACACAACATCTTTGTTTGTATGTGGTGCTGAGGATCGAACCTGGGCCGCATGCATGCCAGGCGAGCGCGCTATCGCTTGAGCCACATCCCCAGCCCTATTGCCTGTATTCTTGATGATTGCCATTCTGACAGGAGTGAGATGAAATCTTAAGAGTAGTTTTGATTTGTATTTCTAATTGCTAGAGATATTGAACACTTTTTAATATATTTGTTGATCAGTTGTATTTCTTCTTCTGTGAAGTGTTCGTTCAGTTCCTTAGCCCATTTATTGATTGTGTTATTTGTTTTTTTGGAGTTAAGTTTTTTGAGTTCTTTATATATCCTAGAGATTAATGCTTTATTGTAGGTGCATGTGGTAAAGTTTTTTCTCCCAATCTATAAGCTTTCTCCTCACGTTATCAATTGTTTCCTTTGCTGAGAAGAAGCTTTTTAATTTGAATCCATCCTATTTATTGATTCTTGATTTTACTTCTTGTGCTTTAGGAGTCTTGTTAAGGAAGTCAGATTCTAGGCCAACATGGTGAAGATTTGGGCCTATTTTTTCTTCTATTAGGCACACGGTCTTTGTTCTAGTGCCTAAGTCTTTGATTCACTTTGAGTTGATTTTTTTGCATGGTGAGAGATTGAGGTTTAATTTCATATTGCTACACATGGACTTCCAGTTTTGCCAGCATCGTTTGTTAAATAGACTATCTTGTCTGTAGTGCATGTGTTTGGCACCCATGTCTAGTAAGAGATAACCATATTTATGTGGGTTTGTCTCTGTGTCCTCTATTCTGTACCATTGGTCTACAAGTCTATTTCAGTGACAATACCATGCTGTTTTTGTTACTATAGCTCTGTAGTATGGTTTAAGGTCTGGTATTGTGATGCCTCCTGCTTCACTTTTCTTGCTAAGGATTGCTTTAGCTATTCCAGGGCTTAACCCCCACCCCCCTCCCAATGAATTTCATGATTGCCTTTTCTATTTCATTGGGATTTTAATAGGAATTGCATTAAATCTGTATAACACTTTTGGTAGTATGGCCATTTTGACAATTTTAATTCTGCCTATCTGGGAGCATAGGAGATCTTTTCATCTTCTGAGGTTTTCTTTAGTTTTAGTGTTCTGTAGTTTTCATTGTAGAGGTCTTTCACCTCCTTTGCTGGATTGATTCCCATGTATTTTATTTTATTTTGTTTTTTGAGGCGATTGTGAATGGAGTAGTTTTCCTAATTTCTCTTTTCAGTGGATTCATCACTGATGTATAGGGATGTGTTTGATTTATGGGTGTTGATTTTATATCCTGCTACTTTGCTGAATTCATTGTCTAGAAGTTTTCTGGTGGAATTTTTTGAATCATCTAGATATAGAATTATGTCATCAGCAAAAAGGAATAGTTTTGAGTTCTACTTTACCTATTTGTATCCCTTTAATTTCTTCCTTTTGTGTAATTGCTCTGTCCAGAGTTTCAAGGATGATGTTGAATAGAAGTGGTGAAAGAGGATATCCTTGTGTTGTTCCAGTTTTTAATGGGAATGCTTTCAATTTTTCTCCATTTAGAATGATGCTGGCCTTGGGTTTAGAATGTATAATTTTTACAATATTGAGGTATGTTCCTACTATCCCTTGTTTTTCTACTGTTTTGAACACGAAGGTGTGCACTATTTTGTCAAATGCTTTTTCTGCATCTATTGAGATGATCATTTGATTCTTGTTTTTAAGTCTATTAATATGATGAATTACATTTATTGATTTCCATATGTTAAACCAATCCTTCATCCCTGGGATGATGCCCACTTGATTGTGGTGCACTATCTTTTAAATATGTTTTTGTATGCGATTTGCCAGAATTTTATCCAGAATTTTTACATCTATGTTCATCAGGAATTTTGGTCTGAGTTTTCTTTCCTTGATGTGTCTTTGTCTGGTTTTGGTATCAGGGTGATACTAGCCTCGTAAAATGAGTTTGGAAGGGTTTCCTCCTTTTCTATTTCATGTAGTACTTTGAGGAGTATTGGTGTTAATTCTTTTTTTAATGTTTTATAGAACTTGGATGAGAATCCATCTGGTTAGTTAACCTTTACTTTTCCCCTGTGGGTGACCTGTCTTGTGTTTCACATACCTGTCCCCTCAGTGTGTTATCTTCTCTCTTGCCTTAGAAGCTGGCATTTAACCTCTGTTTCTTCCTTTTCTTCATTTTGACCATTAGACAACAAGTTCTGGATGTGACAACTTGTGATTTCCTCCTGAATTGGATAATGCTGCTCTTTCTGTCTGGGTATACCTTAGATTGTGCGAGAAGGCTCTCAACTATGTGTACTATGTGTTGCCCCTCACTTACACATGTTTTTTTTTTTTTTTTATCTTAGTAGTGGTAATCATCTTCTCCTCTCTTTTCTTTCACTACCACCACTCTGCTACCTGCCTGCAGGTGCCTAGAAGTTGAGGTTCATGTTTTTCCACTCCTTTGAGTTGATATGTGACCCACAGGGCCTGGCTATAGGAGTGATTGCCCTGTAATAATTCTTATATAGAGTCAGGAAGGTATTAAATTATTTTATATCAGTCTGTTTAAGAGCAGGCACAGAAACAGAACATTTTATAAAGACTCTTGTCTGAATTGCAACTATTGTGAATACCAAGTTTCCTGAGATTTTTATCACTGCATACAAGTACAGATCCAGGGGGAATCCCTGCAACATGTATTCTGTAGCCACTACATATGGTAGATTTGCTTAAAAGGTGTTCATGAACACAGGTTTGTATGGAAGAGACTCTAGGAGCTGATGATGTATTTAAACATTTCTGGCATAAAGACTTAAAGGAAAAAGAATCCTTAGAGTAAGCAGATAGAAAACTGCTTTGGCAGCCACTGGTAAAGTATTTATTTTCTTGGAATGAATATTGACTTTGGAGCCAGAAGACCCGTTTTAAAATCACAATCTGTCACTTACCAGCTGGATGACTTAGGGCAAATCACTATACTTCTTTCATCATGAGTTTCTTCAGCTGCCAAGTGGAGGCATGATTTATTCTCTGTCAATTTACAGTATTTCTAGGGATATGCGGAGTATAAAAGCGCTTGGAAAACTGGTAGGTACTATACCAATATTCATAATCCCTATTATTATTTTAATAACTTTATGAAAATGAATGATCTTTTGGGGGGGTCATAAAAGTTTCTTGATGTCTGAACTACCCCAAATGTCTCTATATCTAGTAGAGCGAGAGTTTTAAGATAAATAAAATATTGGATTTCTTTATTTTTGCATGGCGCAGGTGTTGCTGGGCAAGTGCTCTACCACTATCCTACACTCCAAACCCAAGTTATATATGATAGTTTCTTGTGTCATGTGTGATAGCGTTAATTGCCTTGAGATACAGAATTCAGATAGTACCTTGAATCTTTCTTTTTCAGTCTGGGTACAAATACAGTGAGGAAGAAACTTTGAGATTTGCTCTATTGAGGAATAAAGACATGAATCAGAAGAGGACATACCTTAAGCTAAAGAAAGGTCTAGAATCATGAAAGAAGATTTTTGTGGATGGCTTTAGAAAAATTAAGTATGAGGTGCATCATTTTGGACATTGTTAAGTTTTGTTAAAAACCCCTAAGATTTTGTTAGTTGACTGTCTTAGGTTTTTGGATACAGATGCGGTTCAGCTAGTTTTTATTTGATCATTTGTTTAGTGTTGTATAACATTTAAGGACACACAGGTTTTGTACCAAACTCTCAAGTCTTGAGTCATGTGTTACTTTTTACTGAGTGTGTGACCTTGGGCAATTGTTAAATAATCCATGCCTCAATTTCCTTTCCTAAAACACTCAAATGGTTCTGGTACCCAACTGATAAGGTAACTGGGTACAAAACACATATCACAGCTCCTCATGAATCGTAAGTGCTCAATAGGTGCTAACATTTGTTGCATTAATTTAAGAAATATATTTATTGTGTGAAGTGTTTGAACATGAAACTTGTAGATCTTATATAAGTAAGGCTTGCTAGTTCTAAATGACAGAAACTCAACTTAAGCATAAAGTTTATTTGCCACTGTATGCAGCTGGGACAACTTAGAAGCATGGCTGTATCCACTCTGTTAGCTGCGATAACTTCCACTTTCTCCCCTCTCCTCCCCTCCCTCCCCCGCTCTTTCTCCTAGAGAAGCTGTTTACGTACAACTAAATATTTTATTGTTAAGTAGAATTTTCAAATCTTTCTTTTCAAAAGAATGAATAAAGTTATTTGGCACCAAATTGACCTGTATGTTTAATATTCATCATCTAAAATGTGAATTCCTGGAGCAGGAGCCCTGTAGGTTTCATTCACTAACATGTCTCTAGTGCCTGGCATAGCACCTGACAGGAACCTGGGACACATAAATATTTAACAAATATTCATTAAATAAATCCTCTTACTTACAGAATTCATTGAGGTTTTTTTTTTTTTTTTTTTTTTTTTTTAAATGTAAACCAGAGCATTACTTAGGAATGAGTAGCTTAATAATATTTAATGATGCATTGAATTGGCAACACACATTAGGTTAATAGGGGCACTAACTAGCCCTTACTTATTAACTTCCCTACATTCTACTCTAGTCCCCGTTAACTTGAGACACAGTAATGTATTCTAATTGCAGATATTAAGTTTAGTTGGATAATGGTAAAAGCTATATTCTTTTGAGGTTTTTTTATTTTTGAGAATTTTTAATATTTATTTATTTTTTAGTGTTCGGTGGACACAACATCCTTATTTGTATGTGATGCTGAGGATCGAACCCAGCGCTGCACACATGCCAGGCAAGCGCACTACCGTTTGAGCCACATCGCCAGCCCTCTTTTGAGGCTTTATGTAGAAAAAAATACTCTTGGAATTAACAGTGATTTGTTTTAATTATTTTTCCTGTAGAAATTTGTGTTCTATATAAGAATCAGACTAAAGTTTAGAAGTACTTTTTTTTTGGAATATTTATTTTTTAGCTGTAGTTGGACACAATATTTTTATTTTATTTATTTTTATGTGGTGCTGAGGGTTGAACCCAGGGCCTAACACATGCTAGGCGAGTGCTCTACTGCTGAGCCAAAATCCCAGCCCCTATAGAGGTACTTTTAAGTTGAAGTATTAATTGCGTAAATTATATAACTAATTCTTACCACTTTTCAACTATTTATGTATATATCTTTTTTATCTTTTTGGTGCTGGGGATTGAACTCAAGGCCATGTGCATGTGAGGCAAGCACTTTGCCAACTCAGCTATATCCCCAGCCCTATTTTTGTATATTTTAAAGATAATATTGTTAATGAAATAAAAAAATATGGAAATTATGCCCCCAAAGCATGACATTTATAAATAGCTATTAGCTATATTTGTAGGAGGATGAGAGTACACTCATAATCAGAAGCAAAAACATTTATTGATCAGATAGATCACATTTTACTTAATCCTGAGCCTGCCTTGAAAGTAGATACATGCCTACCAGCTTACATTCACATGCTGCAGTACCGAGGATCCCTGTAGATTGCTCAGCACAAATATCTTAAAGGAGGCATCTGGGAGGTTTTGACATTTTTTATTTCGGAAGTAAGTCCCACTCTTTTAAGTGATGAGATATATGTGGGTTTTTATAGAGGAACATAAGCTAATGTGTTAATTAAATAATTCTTGATACTCCTGATAAGTATCTCAGGGTATGTAAATTACCTGTGATAACAAAGGATGCCTGTGATATCCTCCTTTTCTTTTATTTCAAACCATCAGCACTTACAAAGAACCACAGACACATTCAAATGAAAACAAATTGCCAAATCAAATTTGTAACTCTCAGGGGAAAAAAATCAGGTTAATGCAAGTTTATAAATGTATATTTCATAGAAAACAAGCATTAGTGCTGTTAGCCATGTGAATTACCATGGAAGATGTGGTAGTTCACAGATTATTTTTCTTGGCTTATCAATGTTTCTATATTTTCTTCTTTTTTAGACTGTTTAATCTAAATAGCAGTTTTCAGAAAATGTATACTGTATGTATACTGCCGCAGTCTGGCTGGGCACAAATCACGAGCCACTGAAGCAGGAACAAACTTTATTTTTGAACTGCAGGAATACACTTCACACAGCTCCCGGGGAATCCTCCCAAACAGCACGCTGCTCGTCCAGGAACCCCCAGCCGGAAATCTCTCCCCCAGAAATCCCTCCTCCTGCACTTCCCTAATGCCGCAGTCTGGCTGGGCACAATCAGGAGCCACTTGTCAAAAGAAACTAACTTTATTTTAGAACCACACACCACAAACAAAATAGTCTCTCAGGAAAAACCCTCAGAGCCTCAACTGCCACCACCGGCTTTCCCCAAGCCTCTCTCTCCCACACAAGCTTCTCCCCACCTCTCACAATCCTCCTGCTCTTGAGGCCGATTGGCTGGGTCACGTGGGCGGAGCCAAAAAAGTCCCCCAATGAGCAGCTCCGTGGTCTGAAAGGGCAGGGAAACAGTCCAATGAGCATCACCGCAGAGGAGCCAATCAGCTAGATGTTGCTGGGGCCGAGGAGCCAATCAGCTAGATGTTGCTGGGGCCGCTGTGAGCCAATCATCAGCCAGCAGCTGGAAGTTTGCTGGCAGCTGGAAGTTTGCTGGGGCCCCTTTGGCTGTGGCTCTCAACACCCTAACCAATGGGAACTCTCGGGAATCCCCGGAAATCCCCATGAGAACTCCAAAATAGTGCGAGAACTCAAAAGTAACTGCAGAGGCTGATAGTAATGCCTCGCCTGTCAATCAATACTGTTGGCAAAATGCCAGGGGCCATACAGACTCTGCAGGGGCTCTCAGCAGTATACTATCTAATAGTTGTTTTATAAAAATTTATTCTTTGACTTTAGTGTGTATGAAAGTGGCTTTCTTCATGATTGTACTTCTGTAGCTAGGATTATAAATAGATTTATACAAGTTACCTTTATGACCCCAATGTGTTCGGTTTTTAGAAGCTTACTTTTGAAGAATGGTTGAGTAGGGTTAAGTAAATCATTTGTCTTTGGTGACTCCGTTTAATTTAGTGCCATTCTTTTATTGGTACCTGGAAGTGTGTCAATCATAGTAAGAAATCATTTCAGGAATCCCTGACTGCAGATGTCTTAGGTTGGTCAGTTTTCTCTCCATTCACAAAACGAAGACTCTGAGACTTAAGACATTTAGTATTTTATCTAGCTGGCACTCAGTCTTGTTTGACCTTTCATGTGGATTTAAAGGAAAAACCGAAGAGTAAAGAAGAAATAGAAAGAAGAAAGCCTGCTTTTGTTTGTTTTCTATCTTGTCAGCTTCATTTTAATGAGATTTTATGTATAACTAAAAAAACAAAAACCAACCAACCAAACAAACAAACCAAAACCAAACAAAAAACCCCACAAACGTGTGTATGCCCCTTTCCCCTCTCTTTATCTGAGTCTCTCTCTTTCTCTTCCTGGACAAAACTATGGCAGAAGAAGATTTTTTTTTCCTGGAAAATATGTAGCTAGATTCAAATCTTGTAATAATTGATAGGTTATGGGGATCGGGTTATGAAGATGCAGGTGAGATAAACACCTGGCCCAATTTCATTTCTTTGGTACTTCAGATTTGTTCTTTAGCTATTTTACTTGGAAATGTTCTTTAAGTCAGAAGTAAAACCCTGCATTTTTGAAAAGAATGAGTTTTGTCTCATTCTAGGGAATAGGTGGTGGGTGATTCTTTGGTTAGATTTTAGATTTTGTCCCCTCCAGTGATGTACCCTTCAGAAACCATTTAGTCCATCAGGAGTTAAGGGTACTTTGTCTGTCAAACCTGTTAGATAAGAATCTGAAATTGGGAAGAGGGCAGAGTATAAGCCCAGCTTTTGAAGTCTTAACAGTTCTCTTCAGTCTTCAGAAGTGCAGGGCAACTAATTTTTATTTCAAAATTATTTATCATACCTTTCTCTGTGTTATTTGGAATCTATTCATTTAAAAATAATGTGTGCATTGTATTTCTCTAGATGGAGAAGATTTTGTTGGGATTATCTTGGTTCTTGAGATAGAAACTCAATATGAGGCAGTTTAGCCAAAAACAAAAATTTATTGGGTTTCATGGCTGTGCAAGGTCAGAAACACAAGAGCCATTGGAAATTATAAGGCTGTGCTGGATCTTGGGTTTTGCTTCTCTGAGAGTGTTGCCTTTATACTTCACCCTAACTCCTCTTTTCCCAGTTTTATCATCAGAGAGCATCTCATGGGAAGGTCTCCACCTTGATCTGGCTTGAATCCTTCTCTTGAATTCATTGAGGAAGGGATAGGGGTCACAGGCCTGCTTCTCTTGTAGCCGGACATGAAGCCCCAATTAGCATTGCATGTTTGTGTTTATGGTAGGCCCTTACTCTTAAGAAGGGTAATGTTGGGTTGGAGTTATTGCTCAGTGGTTATTGCCTAGCATGTGTGAAGAACTGGGTTTGATCCTCAACATCATATAAAAATAAATAAATAAATAAATAAATAAATAAATAAATAAATAAAGGTATTGTGTCTGTCTATAGCTAAAACTTAAAACAAAACAAAAAAGAAAAATAAGGAAAAAAAAACTCACCTTACTCCTACAGATCTAGAAGATAAAGAAAAGTCCCAAATAAATGTTTGAATATTTACTTAAAATCTTAGGAAGACTGATTAACTTACTTTGACTCTTAATTCATTTTTTAAGATTTGAAAACTCTCCTGTGGGTATATTTGCTTCAGATGGTGTGTGTGTGTGTGTGTGTATGTGTATGTGTGTCTGTGTATTTTAGGATATCAAAGTTATTAAAATGCATATTTACTTGAGTTTTCTTGAAAGCATATAGCAAGTGATAACTGTTGCTTGCAGACAGTAGGATGAAGTAAATCTCTGCATTGATTTAACTCAAGAATCTATTGTTTATTTTTTTTTCTAACTGCTTAAACAACATTGCTCTTTTTTCTTGTAATCTATATAGAACCAATCGTCAATTTTACTACCTTGTTATGTCCTGTCCTCTCAGAGTTCTTTAGTTATAGAATCATATGTTTCGATCTTGTACCCCAATGAAATTTCCAGCTTTTTCAGAACACTGCCACAGGTATCCTGAGAGACTAGGTGTCACAACTTGTAAACACACACACAAACACACAGACAGACACACACACACACACTTTCATGCTTATTTCAATCTTTATTAATATTCTTACAGTTTAGCTTTTTATGGATATGCCACCAAATTATTCTATAGAAAAATATAATTGTGTATCCTGTATGATGCTTTGATTAGAACTGTCTTAATAATATAGGAAAATTTAGAAGTTGTACAAAATTGTTAGAAATTTTTAGCTACTTTTATATT